CAAGTCTCAAAACAACCGCCACAACTGCGGACAAGGAAGGTACGGACAGAGGGGGCGGGGACATCGTTTCCTTCACCTGCCAATCGCCCCGGCCGGGCTCCGCGGGATTCTTCCGTCACGTGGCGAGTGGAAATGACGTAACCTCGTTCCGTTCTGTCCCGCCCCCTGGCCCTGTCAGGCCCCGCCCCGGCCCTGTCAGGCCCCGCCCCCGGCCCTGTCAGGCCCCGCCCCCGCGGCACGCTATTCCGGTTTGGAGCTTTTCTCCCCTGTTCATCTCTCGGAGAGGGTCAGTTCTGTTAGAGCTCTCGCTTGGCTTGTCATGGCTTTGAGGCAAAGGATTTTGAAAGGGACACCAAAGCTCTAGGAAGTTGAGCTCAATATATTATAAAGCCCACTTACGTCGAGATGCTGGGGAAATAACTGAAATATTTTCTGCTTACCCAATTTATTTCTTACAAAAGGAGCCCAACTAGGTGAGTCTCTGTGCAGATAAGAAAACTTGAAAGTAAGAAAACTGATCTTTCTAGTGATGTAACAAGTCTTGTTCAAGTTCAAAGAGTAAGTACAGAGTCACTGCAGTCCAATACTGTTTCTAAATATAGTCTCTTCAGCTGGTAAAGCCTAAGCCAGTTTTTAAGTGAAAACAGAAGAGTTACGAAATGAATTTTCAAATTATACAAACACTGTGTATATAAAGCAAGTTTGATTTGCTTGAATTCTGAATATCTTTGACAGTTTGGTAATGCTTTAGTTGGTCATGGATTAACAGCAATGTAAATTAATTGTTCAGAACTGCCTCGTTCTGCCATTTCCGTTCTGTGCTCATCCATGTAATATAATTCGTTTGTAAGGAAGATGATCTTCTAGGGGAAAAAAAATCTGAAGAAAAATTTCCCCGTATAAAAACATTTGTACAGAAAAACTTTCCTGTAAGTTAATTCAGTGTCTCATTGAACTTTCAGAGTTCTTTAAAATTATTATCACAAGCATAGACAGACAGGTGAGCTTTAGTTCCTTTTCATGTATTTATCTTGATGAATCAATACACAGTAGTTGTGAATAATAAACTGTAAAAATATAGTCATGGAAAGAAACATTATGAGGCCCCCATATGGTAGCTCATGACTAATCCTAGCACTTTGGGAGGCTGAGGTGGGAGGACCACTTGAGCCCAGAAGTTATAAGACCAGCCTGGTCAACGTAGTGAGACCCTGTCTATACAAAAAATTTTAAAAATTAGCTAAGCATGGTGATATGCACCGGTAGTCCCAGCTACTTAGGAGGTTGAAGTAAGAGGATGGCTTGAGCTAGTGAGTTTGAAGCTTCCCTGAGTTATTGTGCCAGTGCACTCTGGCCTGGGTAACAGAGTGAGATCTGCCCCCAAAAAAACAAATAAATGACAATTCCATTTGAGTTGGGGGAGAAGGGAGGAGGGGAGGGGATTGGTGTGCTCCCACTTAATGGGCACAATTTAAGGGTCTATGGCACACCTTTGGGGTGAGTGACACTACAGCAAGAGAGACTCAACCTAGCAAACTCAAATGCCGTAACCTAGTTGTTTGCATCCTCACATTAACCTGAAATTAAAAAAATAAATAAATAAAATAAGTAAAAATACATTTAAGATACACTACCTTGAGCAGACGGAGTAGAGTATGGGGAGGAAATAGCTTTCATTCTAGCTGGTTCATGGCCATCTGAAGCTTGGTATGTCCTGCTGCCCACTAATCCATAATAAAGGAGTGGATACTAACCCTTAGAGGCCATAGAGGGAGGCTTATTCTCTGCCCATTTTAAATATTCCTACTACATACCCTGTATTAAATTACATGGAATTTGGCTAATGCATCTGTCCTGAAAGACTTAGGTATTTGTCTCAAACCTTCTGGAGTAAGGGTAAGGTTGCGGCCTCATACCCTTATACTAAGCTTCTTGGGTTAGGTGGTCTTTAGTTTCCAGACCCTTGGGGTGTTGTGGTATTATAAAACAGTGGTCCCTAATCCTTTTGGCACCAGGACCAGTTTCATGGAAGACAGTTTTTTTCCATGGGCCTGGGTTCCATGGCCTGGGGACTACAGTTATAAAGAATACATCTGGCCTTTGTCTCTGATTATTGGAACAGAGCTTCAAAAGTCCTTAGAATGTCCTGAGTGTTAGAAGTGCCTTTTTATGTTACTGGGGTAGTTGTGGTGGGCCCCAAGATAGCTTCCCAATGGAGGATGGTCACCAGAAAGACAAAGCATGTGATTTGTGGGTTGGACTTTGAGCAACCCACACTCTAGGTTGGGGAGAGAGGCTGGAGGTGAGTTCAATTTACAGACCCAGTGATTTCGTCAGTTATGCCTAAGAAATGAAAACTTTGGACATCAACACTCAGTGGAGCTTACCGGTCGGTGACCATGTTGGTGTACTGGAAAGGTGACGACAAGTCCTGACTCCTTCCTGAGAGGGCAGGGAACTGATATCATTAAGTATAGCACTTCCTTGAGTTTTGTGAGTTGTTCTAGTTAATCATCAAACCTCCATGGGGCATCATGGGGAACTCCTGAACTTTTGGCCAATTGGCCAGAAGTGGGGGTGGCCTGGGAACCTCACCTGCAGCTGGCAATTAGCCTTGGAAATGTGTCAGAGTCCACCGAGTTGGGAATGAAATACTTCTTCTAATTCTCTTCCCCTCCCTTCCTCACTTCTGGCTGTCTTGTCTCCCACTATTATGTATGCTACCAGCCCCAATGCTACCTCCCTCCACTGCTTCCAGGTTTTGCTATTTCTTCCACTAGAATAAAGAAACTCCCATCTCTTACTTTCCTTGTGTCTAAGAAATGTTGTAATATAAGGTATCAGCTTGAAGTTAATGGTTCAGTCTTTTGCTCGCCTTGAAGAGAGTTGGCTTTGATCTCGGTTTCCAGAATGGCTCCACAGGAGGTTGAAATGGGGTAGGGACAGCAGTGGTTGGGAAAGAGTACAGTGGGGCTCTGTGCATTAAAAAAAAAAAGGACTTTTACCCCAAAGTTGGGCTAATTTTCTACTCAACTATTTGAAGTGAAGCACACCTCATCAGGACAAGGATGATCTCCTTTCCCTCCAAACAAGAACTTTGTATTTCTTCTAACTCGGCCATACTATGCTAGGGGACCATTTGTCTTCTGCCTACTCTTCTTGTATTTTCACTACTAACAGAAAATAATGTCAAGGTTAAATATTTTGTTTCTCTAAGAAATTTCTGCCCACTAGAGATTGAGTAGTAGTGATAGAAATTTTGGTTCATTTATTCATAAAGACAGAATTAAAATTAGGCCAACTCAGTTATTGGGGCTATAGCTAGTTACATTCTCTCAAAGAAACAAAAGATGGCTAGGCTCATGCCTGTAATCCTAGCATTTTGGGAGGCAGAAGCAGGTGGATCACTTGAGCGCAGGAGTTTGAGATCAGCCTGAGCAAGCACAAGACCCCATCTCTACTAAAAAGAGAAAAACTAGCCAGGCTTGGTGGCACATGCCTTAGTCTCAGCTACTTGAGAGGCTGAGGCAAGAGGCTTTCTTGAGCCCAAGAGTTTCAGGTTGCTGTTAGCTATATCAAGCCATGGCACTCTACCCAGGATGACAAAGCAGACTCAGATCTCAAAAAAACAAAACAAAACAAAAGGTACCTTTTCAAATTTATTTTTAGAAAATTTGCTTTATTTATAAAGTACATATATGTCCCATAATATAAAATTCTAGACCTAGTATATTTAAAAACAGTATAATGGAAAATATAAGTATCCATTTTCTTTCTTTTCCTATTGATATCTATTGTGTATTGATTGTCTTTTCCTAGATTGGCATTTTTCTTTATTTTGCAATTTTATTCATACTTATAGTAAAAGCAGCTTAAGTATTATGGAAAGGTATAAAGCAACAAGTAAAAATTATCTCCTCTCCATCTTCTCCTCAGATACTGGTCAATCTTCTCCCAAACTTTTCACCACAAAGATACATTTTTGTTTACAAACCAGAAAGCCATGTAAAACTGAGTCTTCTTAAAGGCTATGGCCAAAAAGGTAACTCTCTCCCTTTAGAATTTCTTGAGGAGTTTCACTTTATTTCTCAAGCACATCATTTCTGTTCCATTCCTTAAAACTGCTGCACTTGACTCAACTTGCTTTTAACTATTAGGCCTGGTTTGGCAGAAGGCAATGTACATTTTAAAAATTTAAGGCGTTTCTAACATCTTGGAGTTCTGGGGATTTGGAGGCCTGGGGTTCAGGGCGGGAAGTACGAAGGAAGCAATTTCTCTTGTCATAATCCCAATTTTGACAAGCCATAAACACCATGCACAATATACACAGGACACAGATTCACTGGGGTGTGGTCTCAGAACAGCTTGCCCTTTGTTTTTTACTTGTACACTTGTGGTTTTTAAAGTGATGGGTGTTAAAATTTGCCTCATATATTTAGCTTTGATTAGATTGTTTAGAAATTTGGTTTTACTCAGTTAAAAAGAAAAAAAAACCCTATCATCCCATCATTCTTCTGAAAGAAGAGGTATGATCACTTTTAAATGGCTACATTGTTTTCCAGATTAAGTAAACATTTCAATTAGGAGAGTAATTATTTTTAAATTGAGAGTGTGGCTAGCTCTTGTTTTTAGAGCATAAAGGTACAGATAGTGAACTGAATCTTGGATTGGTGGTACTACAAGGAGTATGTAATGAACTGGGTTAAGAGTCCTAAGACATGGCCCTGTCCCGGAAGGCAGAGGAAACTCCCAAAGTCTTTATCTTAGTTACAAAACCCACTGAAACAGAGGAGTGATTGTGTGAGGTGCTTGCCTCTGCGGTTGGGGTATCAATGGTTCCCAAGATACCAGGCTTCCTGGAGCTTGTTGCAGAGGTTTTCAGTGTTTTGAAGGATACCTTTTAAAGGTTAAAGAGAATTAAAGTTCTTCATCTGACTACAGTTATCTTTTTCTTTTTTTTTTTTATTTGGCCAGGGCTGGGTTTGAACATGCCACCTCCAGCATATGGGGCCAGCGCCCTACCCTTTTGAGCCACAGGTGCCGCCCTATGGTTATCTTTTTCTATTCAACAGATACACAGTAGATAATGATTGATGTCCATAGGACATCATGTTGACAGCACACCTTTATCTATATTGACACCACAGCATTGTCCTGGATGAATATACAACCTGATAGAGTGGGCATCACTAGCTTAAGGCAGAATTTCTCATAAATTTTGTCTCAGGCCTTAGCAAAATTTAGTTAGAAAAATAAGAGCATTGCTTTAAAAAATATTCCCTCCACAGTCTCGATGATACTTTTAACAAGAGTCATCTTCTTCCTGAAGTATCCTTATGAGACCTTCCAAAAGGAGGCTGCTGTCACTGAAAGCCAGAGGCAGCTTTGAAGAGTCAGGCTGGGGGCAATAGTTAGACAAACTACTGTCTCTTCATAAGTGGAAGTGGAAGACAGGCAGTGAGTGGTGATAGAAAGAAAGCAGTAAGTATGATGAAAATCGTTTCACAGAGGCTGATTTATATTTTGGCAAGTCTGTCTATCTGCTATGATCCCCAAATTTTCATTTTAGAGAAACTGTGATGCTGATAATTGCAGTATTTACTCAAAAGATATTAAATATCCAATGACATTTGGTGACACTTATTCAAATAGAGATTGAGCATCTCTAATCCAAAAATCGAAAATCTGAAATACTCCAAAATCCATGACACCATCCAATGGGTGCCTGAGATAGTGACAGCTTTCTTATAGGTCGATGTACAGAAACTTTGTTTCTTGCACAAAATGATTAAAAATACTGTATACAATTACCTCTAGGCTAGGAGGTATATATGAAATGTAAGTGGATTTCATGTTTAGACTGCAGTCTCATCTCCAAGATACCTTAGTGTGTCTATGCAAATACCCTAAAATCTGAAAAACAAAAAAAATGAAATCTGAAACACTTCTGGTCCCAAGCATTTCAGATAAGGCTACTCAACCTGTATTGCTTCATCCATCCATATTCTATAAAGTCACTGAAAAAAACAGTCTGCTGAGTCTTTTGTACTGTTCTTTGCAGCTTAGATTCTATCTTAAGGCTTTCTTAAAGATGTCATCAGCATTCACAGGAGTGTGGTTCTGGGATGACTTAAAGCTCTTCTCTTAAAGGATTTTTCCTGTGGCACTCACAGAGGGATGTGCTGTCTTCTGGCTGAGGAACAAGCTCCATTCCGTCACGTATTTCAGGTTTGCTGGCCTGGTGCTCTGCGTATTTCTGCAAGGTGTGTTTCAAGGCAAGTGAAAGATGAGTCCACGTTTCCTTCCATTGACTCCTCCCCCTCCCACCATTCCTAATCATGCTGGGTGTCTTCAGACTGGTTTATTCCAGTCTTAAAGTTACATTTTTTTTTTTTTGAGACGGAGCCTCAAGCTATCCCCCTAGGTAGAGTGCCATGGCATCACGCTCACAGCAACCTCCAACTCCTGGGCTCAAGCGAGTCTCCTGCCTCAGCCTCCCAAGTAGCTGGGACTACAGGTGCCCACCACAATGCCTGGCCATTTTTTGGTTGCAGCCATCATTGTTGTTTGGCGGGCCCGGGCTGGGGATTCGAACCCGCCACCTTAGGTGTATGTGGCTGGTGCCTTAGCCGCTTGAGCCACAGGCGCCGAGCCTTAAAGTTACATTTTAACTTTAGCTCCTACTGGCAATAGCACAATATTTCACAATCTATCAAGGACCCCCAATCCAGTTTCATATATAGGTATCAGCTTTTATCCTCCACTTTTCAGTGAATAATTAATTTTTTGAATACCAAATCAGCAAACAAAGCTGATAAACTTCTCAAAATAAAGTTGGTAGTCTCACATTGTTAGGCCTTTAGTTACATACCTTTTAAAAATGATGACATGTTTGTAAAATGTTCCTGTACAGTGGCCACTGACTAAAATACTCCTATAAATTGGATATTTCAGTTCACTGGTTCTGTGCCCATTTAGCTGCATATTCCTGGTACTGGGCCAGACCCAACAAAATGATGCCATGAGTAGATGAGCCTGATTAATACTGTAGGGGGAGAAATTCCTACTATTAAAATTCAAGCTAGACCAGCAGAGGGACAGAACCAATTTAAGGGAAGAAAGGGCTGCTTCTAGGAAATGATACAATTTATCATTTTTAGTTTTCTCTGAGAATAAAAATATGAAAGGGTAGCATCCATAGGCATCGAAATTTACTTCTATTCTGCCCATAGAAAAATAAGTTTAGATTAAAAACAAAAATGTGATTCCTATTTTTTCCTTCCTGACTGGACTATACTGAGTAAAACCGAGGGTAGTTACTTAAGGACCAATCCTCTGATTCTTAATAAACACTTATATATCAGGATTAACCCTAAGCTGTTAGAACTATTATAATTTTTTTCATTTGTTTGATTGTTTTATACAGCAAGCTAAATACCTATGCTGTAAAAGGCTTGGTTCTTAAGTATCAAGGAGAACAATTTTGAATAGATAGAAACGGCCAAGCCTCTTATTTTCCAAATAAAGAAAATGTTGTTCTCAGAGGTTCAGGAACACCTAAACAAGGAATTTCATACGGCATTTAATAAAAGAGAGCACTGACAAGATGGGAGGAGCTTCTACGATGCATTTGTGAGAGCTCCAAGCATTGTTGTGCATGATATGGAACTGAGATTTGAAAGAGCATGGAGGCCACAAAGGGACTGAGCAGCAGCCCTGTCCTTCCCTAAGCTCGTGCCAGCCAGTCCATAGGCTGACTCTCTGAACACTTCTGGAAGCAAGACACGAGGTGCTCAGGCCCAGCACCTGGTCTGCAGGGTGGATGCTCTGGACTGACCTGCAGAACCCCGTAATAATAGCAGTAAAGCCTGTGTGGCTGGAGGAGGTCCCTAGCAGCCAGCTGCCCTTCTTTGGCAATCTTCTGGGCTTCTTTGTCATTTTCCTGCAAGGTTTAAAAGAAAACAAAACAGTGAGTGAACTTCTGTACCCCACAAAGAAAGGAAGACAGCATGAAGCGAGGCAGAGGTGGGGCTGAATGTGAACAGCATGGGAGCGGTGGAAACTAAAATAAATATGACTTATGAATGAAGCTGTGGAAAGAGACAGCGTGCTTTCCTAGACATCTCTGTGAGAGAGAAATCATACGTGTTTGGCCCCCTGTTCCACCATCCCAGTAAACCATCCCCTCTCCCCACCTGCAGCCCCTGTTGTGACTATCTTGGCACTTTTCCAGCCACCTAGGAAGTAAGCGTGGGGCTCATCATTTGTCTCCCCAGTTTAGCCCGCTCTGCTTGACAGTAGAATGAATCAGTTTTCATGTTATAACATCTTTTAAAAGCTCCATGTAAATATGTAGTCAGAGCCAAAAAGCTGTGTTAAAGTGTAGCTAGGAAAGATGATACTGTTTTTATAAGAAAATTCAGTACCCACAGCCTGTTCATTCAGTACCAGGAATAGTCAGTCTTCCTAAATATAGTTTTGGAAAAAAGTTAATATTCTACCATGCTGCCCACAAAAATGCCAATTTGCAGGCAACTGTGGCTCTTATAAAGTGTCACAAAAATGATTCTGCCTCAGGAACTCAGTTATTTCTTTTCTTTTTCTTAAGAAAAGAGTCTCACTGGGTTTCCCTGAGTAGAGTGCCGTGGTATCATAATAGCTTAAAGGAACCTCAAACTGTTGCCTCAGCCTCCCCAGTAGCTGGGAATACAGGCACCTGTCACAACGCCTGGATAGTTTTTCTATTTTTAGCAGGGTGTCACTCTTGCTCAGACTGGTCTTAAACTCCTGAGTTCAAGCAATTCTCCTGCTTTGGCCTCTCAGAGTGCTAGGGTTACAGGTGTGAGCCACTGTGCCCGGCCTACATAGTTACTTCTATAACCACATATTGCTCCTTAGAAACTTAGAATAAACTCTTATAATGAAAGAGTAAATTTTTGTTGTTTTATAATAAACACATCAGCTTTTAAATACTCTTTCTTTTAAAAAGGAACTCCTATTTTATGGGAAACTTGTGATCCTTGGAATGTTATATAGCATGCATCATTAAGAACTTGTGTGTATCTTGTAACTGCTTAAGAGTACTATAATTGCCTTGTATGTTTTCTTGGGCATAAAGCACTTTAACTCTGGGTCTTTTTTTTTTTTTTTGAGACAAAGTCTCACTATGTTGCCCTCAGTAGAGTGATGTGACATCATAGCTCACAGCAACCTCAAACTCTAGGGCTTAAGAGATTCTCTTGCCTCAGCCTCCCAAGTAGCTGGGACTACAGGTGCTCGCCACAATGCCTGGGTATTTTTTTGTTTGTTTGTTTGTTTTTAGCAGGCTCGGGCCAGGTTCAAACCCACAAGCCCTGGCATGTGTGACTGGCATCCTAACCACTGAGCTGTGGGCACTGAGCCAACTCAGGGTCTTTTCAATCAGTAATTTGGATTCTGTGCATCTTACTTGTGTATGTGAGCATGACTAGTGATTTATGTAGTAAATTTATACTTTATATAACACTGAACTTCTAATCTTCCAAAAATCCCCAAAAATGTTGAGAAAGGGTATGTAAAATGATGCTGATGATGATTCTTTAAATATTTCAAGGGAAAAAAATTGTTAAAATAACATTTAAAAAATTCCATTTATGGAATTATGTCAAATTAATTGGTGATAGAACTTGTATACTTAGGTTCACTCTGGTGAATTTCTTATTGTCTAAAGAAATGAAAATTGCAGGAAACATACCTTGGCCCATTTCACTTTCTCTAGTAAATCACTAAGATTTCTTTTAATTGGAACATAATGTTTCCAAGGCTTTAGTGCCATGTAGAAATGTTCATAATATGGTGAGTCCTGTTTTAGAACCAGACTGTCCCCCAGCATGAGATACGGGTATCTATAAGCAGCCACAGTGCCGTCCACATTCACTTGATACTTATACTGAAAGATTAAAGACAATAAACAAAAATTTTAAGAGTTATTTGTTACACTTCTGCTTCCTGTTAACACTGTCGCACTAAATATACATACAAAGAAATGATTTTCCATTTTCCAGCTTTCACGTTTAGAAGTTTTATTGTATAACTTATGTTTTTTCTTTGAATTAAAATCAGAAGCAGCCTTTAGCAAATCAATTTTAAGATATATAACACATTTAATGTTATGATGATAAACAATTTTAGGAAAGAGTAATAAATTCGTATTTCAGTTATCTCTACATGACGGAGAATACACAGATCTTTGTAACCAGATAGGAGCACTATTTTCAAAAGTTCTATGTTTACTAAAGTTGAATACTGATAACAATTTATACTTTCATTTGTACATTATTTCACAAGTTTCTTATACTTCATACTCAGTCTATGAAACAGGAAGGCATCATTTCTGTTTTACAGGTTCAGAACTGAGGAGACAGAAAGCTGGGGAAGTGTAAGGACTTGGCAATGCTGGCAACACAGCAGGAACTCTGTTGGCGTATTTGTTGGATATTTTGTTTTACATTTTGAAAGCACTTTTCCTAGGCCTTAAACCTCATTAATTATGATAATGTGAAGCAGGTATTGGCCTCTGCTCCTCCTCGCCCTTGCTTTCTACAAATGAAAAAACTCAGAGAAATTTATAAACCTCTATTTTCAAATCCCCTCTTCTTTTCATTGTATCACACTGAGATGAAGAAGCATACTCTCAAATCTGGTCATTAATTTTTTCTTAAATTACTGGTACCGAGGAGTTTTCTATCCTCTCAGGGTTTGTTACACTGTCCACCCCTTTATCTCCTTTGAGCCTAGTGATAATATTCTGACAGAGCTAGGCAGGCATCACATGTGTTTAGAGACCAGCGTACTAAGAGAGAAAGGTCCCAGAGTTGGTAGACCGGCAGCTTTAGAAGCAGAACTTGAACCCCAACTCCAGCTCCTATTTTGTGTATATGGAATTTCTATTCTTCCTATTTATAAAAGACATCTGAAATCACTTCACATAAAACATATTTATATTTTCAGTTTGTTAAAGACACCCATGGAAGAAAGACGAGAAATAAATCATCAAAACCTCAGGCTAATCCTTGTACTATTTTCTGAGCACTGAGTGTATTTCTGAGCTATTTGATAGACAAAGTCAACAACAACAAAAGAAGGAAAGCACACAGAGTTTTGTGATCCTGGGGTCTGATAAGAACGTGCGAAAGTGTGTTAGTTCACTAAACAGGATAAATTCACCTAATTCCACCTACTTCGTAGACTTTTAATACAAGTTTATCACTTCATATCCATACAGGAAGACTCAAATGCATACCTTAAAGAAATCAAAGAAACCTGACAACTTGGCTTTTCCAAGCTCCTTTTCTTTCTCTTGGAAAAAGAAATATCCTGTAATTCCTGCATCTAGGAGCTGTGGATTTTCTTTGGATAGCTGTACCAACTGGAGCCTCTCCTCTCGGCTATCTCTACCTCTGAAGAAAGCTTTCTCTGTTTTATTGATCCAGGACGGACCTAGAAGTTTAAGGCCATAAAAAAATTATGATTATGAATTTGATGTTTCTATGTGGCAAGCTTAATCATCCTTACTCTACCACTGTCATTGACGACATTCAAGTTCTTTTATCAACTCATCTTCTAAAGTAGATGCTATTTCTAGAAGTATGGGATTGAGTCTCAGTTTGCCAGAGACATTTTCAGGTTTAGACTTTCAAGAAAAGTCTTTTCATTTGTCGTATTAGGTGAAAGAATGCTCTAATTTTACCCATTTGCCTACTAGTGAGAGGTCACACAAGTATTGGTGTTTTCTGTTACACAACACTAGCAAATAACCCAAAATAATGTCTGACCATGTTCAAATCAAAAAGAGATTCCGTAACTTGGCTTACGCATGAAGATATTATTAGCTTCTTCCATTTTGTGTGTGTGTGTTTCACAATCAGGTGAAACAGGCTTTTGTTCTTAGCCAACTATGTATCAAAGTAATACCCACAAGTTCTTAGGTGACTCAGAATTTTGAGCACATCTTTTTTGAATACAGGGAAGCCTTTTCTTCTAATATGCTTTTAAATGCAAATATGTGCATATCTATAACTCCGTTATATAGGTATGCTTATATCCTATCTTTCCTGGAAGGGAAATATTCTGGAAGAATTAATTTCAATCTATTTCTGTTATTCTAAAGAGAGACGTCATTAGTTATCACTGGTCAGTATTTTAAGGAATAAATCATAAAATATAGAAATTTTGGAGGGATTAATCTCTTTAGTGTTTTAGTACAAAAATTTCAAAAACTCAACTGTTACAAAATTAGAAGTAGGTCAGTTCGCCCTTCATGTTATCTATAGATAGTTACAAAATATAAAAAGTCTCTGGTCTTCTCCACCACATAAGTCTACTAGAGCCCAATAAATAGAAATAAAGTCTATAAAACAAGGCAAGGCTTTTTTCTACTCGGGGAGCTCAGGAGTTTGAGACTGCAATGAGCTATGATTATGCTACTGCACTCCAGCCTGGTGACACAGTGAGACCCTGTTTCTAAAAATAAATAAATACACACATACATTCATACATACATTAATTGATTAATTAATTTTAAGAAAAGGAAACAGAAAAAGGAAAGGGGAGAATTCCTTATAAAGTGTTGGAAGTAGGACTATCCAAATTATACTATTATCACAATTCTTTCATTTGCAGAAAATTTTATATTTTTCAAAATTCTCTGTCATTTCATCCAACAATACAAAGGCATTGGAGTCTGAATTAAGTGATAACTTTACAAAATATGGCCATTTTGTAAATACCAAATGATATTTATAAGTGACCAACTCAAAGGAGACTCAGTGAAGGTAGGTTTGGGAGTTACTGGCCCAAACCATGCATCTTCAATTTCTGGATTAGACGAATCCTAAACAAGTCACTGTAGCATTCATTCATTCATTTATTTTTAGAGATAGAGTCTCACTTTATCACCCTCAGTAGAGTGCTGTGGCATCACAGCTCACAGCAACCTCCAACCTCCAACTCCTGGGCTTAGGCAATTCTCCTGCCTCAGCCTCCCAAGTAACTGGGACTACAGATGCCCACCTCAATGCCCAGCTATTTTTTGTTGCAGTTTGGCCAGGGCTGGGTTCAAACCCACCACCCTTGGTATATGGGGTCAGTGCCCTGCCCAGTGAGAGCCACAGGTGCTACCCCACTTTAGCATTTAATACACTATTTTTCTTTTCTCCTGGTAAGAAAATAACAAGAATGGTTTTAACATATATATACACATTTACTCCAACTGAACATTTCCTTTACTTATTTACTTCTAATCTTATTCTTAGAGAAATAAACTTAATTTACCTGTATTTCCCTGAATAGAGAGAAGATCATTTGTGACCCCCCTCATTGCTTCCAGTGTGGAATGGGTGATGTCATACGTTGGAAGGATAATGTCCCTTGAATCCAGAGAGCCGCACCATGAAATGATAGGCACAGGGCTGGGGGTTTCATTGACTTTTCGATGCTCCAATGGCCAATCTCCAAGATTAATATAAAATTCTAAGTCTGGAAGAAGGACCTACATAAACAAAAGTATAAACATCAGTGCTGGGAAATCTATGGTCTTTGGTACTAAATACTTCAGTTTTTTTGCTTTCTTAAATACTTCTTTTTTTTTTTTTAAATACTCCTAATAGAGCTGATCATCAAAAAACATTAAGACAGGAAAGAAGAATGCCTCTCAATTATCGGTAACATCAGAAAATCACAGGTGAGGATGGTGAATGACAAATTCACTTAACCAGGCATTATCTACCTCTATCCACAGGTAGCATTTCAAATTTACTATTACAAGAGTGGAAATTGTATACAGAGGCAGGAATGAGAGGCAATAACCCTCTCTCACAGCTGCCTAAGAAAAGAATGTTAGACCCAAATTAGAGTTAGACCCAAGCCCTTGTTTTTCTTCACTGCCCTCCTCTTTACCTCATCTACCTTTGTTTCCAGAACCCGCCACCCCATTTCCATCTCCGTAGTCAGTGCCTGCATTTAGATCCTTTTCATCTCTTGCTTAGATGCTGGAATAGCTCCCTTACTAGGTATTATCATTCTAGCCTCTCCCCATTCTAATCTACTCTTCACGTGGCCATTCAAATTTGTAAAACTAAAATTAATTCTAGGCGAGGCACAGTGGATCAGGCCTGTAATCCTAGCACTATGAAAGGCCCAGGCAGGTGGATTGCTTGAGCTCAGCAGTTCACGACCAGCTTGACCAAGAGCAAGACCTTGTATCTAAAACTAACCAGGCATTGTGGTTGGTGCCTGTAGTCCCAGTACTCAGGAGACTGAAGCAAGAGAATTAGTTAAGCCCAAGAGTTTGTCACACTCTACCAAAGGTGACAAAGTGCGAGTGCCTCAAAAAAAATTAAATTAAAATAAAATTAATTCTAAAATTAGAATTTCTAAAACTAATTTGGTTAATGTCACCACCAGGTATAACAACACCTTTGCCCATGGGACAAGCTCTTAACTTTCTGGCTGGCACGAAGACCTTGCTGTCTTGCTCCAGCTTAGCTTTAAGCCCACCTTTTACCTGCCCACATAACTGCTGAACTTCAGGCTGCTCTCGGAAAATACACTTTACTATGTAATTCCCTTCGCTTGGAATGTTCTACTCTTACTATTCAACTCGGCACTTTTTCCCTTCCTTCAAACCTGTACCTAACATGACCTCCCCTATGACTTGCCCTCCCCCGTGCACTTGAACCCTATTTGCCCGCTTTTCTTCAGGCTTATCATGTTGTAAGTGTTCATATTCACATTCCACCTTCACTCCCAAGTAACAGAAACAAGTCCCATTAGAGCAGGATTGAATCTCTTTTACCTTAGTTTTCTTCTCAGCCACCAGGCATAGAACAAAAGGAAAGGCCAAGGGATGTGAATACTCAACCCTTGCCTCCCTGCTATTATTTATAAACTCATTAACAAATTCTGCACATGAAGTTTTCACTCTGGAACAGGATTTCTCAGCCTTGCACTATTAATATTGGGGACGAATAATTCTTTGCTGTGGGCTGTCTTGTGCATTGCAGGATGTTTACCCATGAAACGCAACGCCCACTCTACCCACTGGACTTTTTGTGACAACCAAAAGTCTCTAGACATTGCCAGTTGTCCCCCTCAGGGGAAAATCATCCTGGTTAAAAACTCCTATGGAGCCAACAACCTGAGTATAAGATGCAGGGATGCAGGCAGGGAAGCCTAGGGGTAGCCCAGGAGGACAGCACTGCCTTTAGGATCAGATGCCTGTGATATGTGTTTATGCTTACTCTGTGGGTTGGGGGAACGGGAAGGGAAATGCATTACAAATAAGAATTGACATTCCCAGGCTCGGCGCCTGTGGCTCAAGTGGCTAAGGCGCCAGCCACATACTCCTAAGGTGGCGGGTTCGAATCCAGCCTGGGCCTGCCAAACAACAATGATGGCTGCAACCAAAAAAATAGCCAGGTGTTGTGGCGGGCACCTGTGGTCCCAGCTACTTGGGAGGCGGAGGCAGGAGACTTGCTTGAGCCCAGGAGTTGGAGATTGCTGTGAG